AACATCATCAGTTGGGTACGTCGTTCGCCGCAAGCGCGGCCTTGGCCGCTCTACTCGCTTCTACAGCAGTGTCCGGTCGCAGTTTCTTCCCCCCCCCCGCCGCTTCCCCGATTCTCTTTCTCTTCGGGCCCGGGGCGGCCGTGCTCTCCGTCTCTGCTTCCTCCGCGCGCTGGCGCTGGCGCTTCGCGGATGCTTCCGCCTCCTGTCTGTGCCATTTCCTCATGAACCATGCCGCCCCGTCCTCGATCTTGTCGTACCACGCCTCCTGGTCCTTGGCGCTCTCTTTCCATCTCCCCCCCTCCTTCTCCTCTTTCATGCCAAACGCCACGAGGTCCTCTCCTAGGCGATACACCCAGTCGCTCTCCTGCCCGCCCCGGTATCCGGTATCACCACATTGGATAAAGTTACACCATTAGACTAGTCAGCGCTGACTGACAAGAACTCAGCGCTGACTAGTCTAATGGTGTAACTTTATCCAATGAAAGATATGCTCAGCTCATTTGCACCCGGCTGGATCACATTTATTTTTGGCTTCGTGAGTAGAGATCTCCGGGGACGGACCCCTCGCCAGACGCTGCCTGAGAAGAACTTAATGGTGCTTGGGAAAGTGACCAGTCGGGTTTCGAACTCGTGCGTGAATCCTTTTTCGCCAAATGTTAATCCATTAGACTAGTCAGCGCTGACTTGGTAGTCTAATGGGTGAGCCTTTACCAATCGAAAGATACACTCTCGGCTCGTAGAATCCCGGGCTGTGAGTAGAGATCTCCGGGGACGGACCCCTCGCCAGGCGCTGCCGAGAACAGAACTATGGTGCTTTTCGTAAAGTGATCAGCCCGGGATTTGAACCTGTGCGTGTATCCTTCGGTGCGAAGAGCGGTTGGCACCCTTGAGGGTTTCGTTGAAATGGTTGGGAGAGCTGTGGGTTCAGATACGTCCGGGAGGGTGTTTGAAAAGCGCTTTGGTTGGTAAGCATTCAAGGCGGGACAGTGAGCATTTCTATTGAGAGGAAAGAGGGTAAGGTACACCTGACGGAAGACATGTATGGTGGAGGAATCAAATCCTTCCTTGACACTGTTTGAAAAGATACGTCGATTGGTAAGCTTTCAAGGTCTGACGGTAGAATCGTGTGTCTAGAAAAAGGAATGCACAAGAGATACGCCTGCAGGCGTGCGTGGCAAAGAGACCCTTGTTGGTACGACAGATTATCTGCGTATGGTCGGTTCGCGTCTTCTGATTCGAGAAGACAAGACCGCGCCTTTGGTGCTGGCTGCGAGCACGAGCTCGTCGTCTCGTCGCCGGGCAGCTGGGAGGAAAGGGGGGGGGGGGGG